CATTTGTCGGGTCACTGAAGTCGACACCTACAACTGACATACCACATAGTTGCACAACTAACTTCCTGAAAGTCGAAGACCAGTATTTCACAGGGTTAGCTACTTCGATTCCTTGCGATCTCGCTACGGCACGAAAAGTGCAAAAACGCATAATCGTACCGGCCCGCCTGGTGCGTTCCAACCTGGGTCTTGAATTCCATCTGCCTGTCGCCACGATTATAGTTTTCGAGATCCTCTTTCGGCCTCCGTTTAATGTGCTTGCAGAGAAGGGAGTGCTCCATGTTTTGAATTTTATGCCTTTTCATGCCCCTTTTCATTAGAAGCATTTACTTTGTTGCGGAGAATTTCGAATTTGACCATTGAGATCGAGTACAATCAACTTTTTTCACGCATTCAAGGAACCTATCAATAAGGCAATCATCGTCCCAGTCAATATTCGCTGTAGTGGTCTATTTGTCACTGCTGACTTGTAGCTTCATCTCCTCACCAGTGACTTTTCAGAGCCTGTTACACATGCCTTACCCCTGATTTGCCATGTGGTTGTAGTTACTGTTTCAAAAATCTGGTATAGGAGAAAACAGACACGTTTTTTTTAGCCCGATACTCTGAAACATTGACGGTATTATAAAATTTTGTCATTTCAACATTGTCAGCATGTTCACTTTTCGGTGAGGTAAATTAGCTGTTGATTTTCTCCAAGTTTAGATAGTGCCACTATCCTTAAAAATCTGATTCGTTTTGTCTTCAGTCTCTGAGCGTTTTTTTTTTTTATCTAGTCCATTCCACAGTGCTCGAAATATTCAAAACTTTTTTGATGAAAATTTACCTCAAAAAGCGGTCCATGCAGCAAGTCGAGTCGCGTTTTGAATACAGTCGTAGACCCGATGTAAATGGCGCGATGAGGACGATGCCGCAAAGATTTGGTGGATGCTTTGAAGCCAAGTAAACGGTTGGTGCTGTTCCAATACTGTAACCAACTAAAGCTATCTAAAATGCTTTCATTACTGTCAGCTAATGATCTACCATGATTTCGCCATTGATCTTTTCTAAAAAATTCTTTTAAATCTTTTTTAAAAACATTTCGAAGACTTTTTTTTAAAAAAAAAGTTTCTTGTAGTCTTTTTCTTCCTCCTTCCTTTTCCTTCTCCTCCTCATTCAACTCTTGTTCCGTCCAATCCCACTATCGTATTTTTTTCCTTCTGCTTCTTCCTGTCGTCTTTCTTTTTTCTTTTCCTTTTCTACTGAACACTGCGACGGTCACACTGACGACTTTCTGTCGTGGTGTTCAGGTAAGGCATATATGATTTAATGGGCCGAAACGCGTTGTCTCACTCTTACCTTTTTCTCTCATACTGTTCTATTATGCCGTAATCTATCGTATTTTCGCCATTTAGTTTTCCAGGGCCAACCTGGTTGCTACAAATTGGCTTGAGAAAAAAAACACACACACATATCCCCACTGCCTATGAGGGTGCACACTTTGCTGCAGATTACGCTCCTTTGGAAAAAAAGCTTTACCAGTTTATGCGAAGCATTTCTGAATATGACACAGCATGCGGAACGAGTAATGTGGACGGCTAAACGGTCTTCGACTCTCTTCAGCTCTTAGAAGTCGTTTTTCAGCCAAGATTGAACCGGACTGCTAGAACACTCCAGGATCTACGTCTCCTGACCCAGAGGAACTCTATTCTATTTTAGTATTCTACAAATGATAACTTTCTCACAAGGATTATTTTTTAAGTGAGGCTTTGCATTATTCGGTATTTTAAAGAGGAGAGCAAGCTGAATATGTTGCATTTGGATTTAAGACACACTCGAACATTTTTTCCTCTAGTTTTATGAATGTGTTGATAGGCAGCTTCAATGTCAGCATAAACATTTTTCTCCGATGGACTGCCGGTGCTGATACCGTATCCGGAATAATCATAGGCATACACATCCGTTTGCAACAAATCGGCCAAAGTCCTGGAAGAAGCAAGAACTGAGATATTAGCGTGAAAAGAAGAGGTGAAGCAAGGAAGAAGCACCTTTGCAGCAAAAGAATTATTAAAATTTTTATGCGTTTTTGCCGTACAGCACTAGAGCGCTGCAACAGGCAGCAAAAACGAATATTGCAATGGCTCTGTCTGTGTATGGGCAAAGTGAGATATCCGAAGCTGCGCGGATTCGGCAAGAAGTTTCGTGAAGGTCGTTGCCCGGTGATCATGCTTGATTTACGCGCTAAAAT